ACATGAACTCAAAAAGCTTGCACGTATGCTCGCCATGACAATCCTACGCCAACTCAGCCGACTAAATATTACGAATCACGTTCGAAGTTCGTTCGAATTAATAAAGTCCCAGGTTACCCAGAAGCCCAAGCAATAAGTTCATCGCCCGTCCTATTAACGGCCTCTCCAGGCCGAGCAATGAAGGGACCAGATAAACTGGGACTCCACTGACGCATACAAACTATGCAACAACGCATAATATTCTTCAATGAAATCAAGAGTAAATAAACTGTGACTCATTCCGACGCATGCATAAACGATACAACAACGAGTAATATTCTCCAATAAAAGCAAAGCCGCGTACGACATTCTTACCACTCCCCCGAACCAGCACGTACCAAGTGAAAGTAAAGTTCGACCTCATTCGAATTCATCACGGGTCATAATTCGACATCGTTCGAATTTACGCCCTTACAGCCCCCGTCCATCGCCAAGGGAAGGTAAAGTTCGACCTCATTCGAATTCATCACGTGTCACAATTCGACCTCGTTCGAATTTACACCCTTACGGCCCCCACCGTCGCCAAGTGAAGGTAGGGTTCGACCTTGCTCGAACTCATCACGGGTCACAATTCGACCTCATTCGAATTTACACCCTTAGAGCCCCCGACCATCGCCAAGAGAAGGCAAAATTCGACCTCGCTCGAATTTTCAAGTCAAAAATGACTCCGCCCAAGTTGGCGAGTCGAAATTCGACCTTGCTCGAATTTTCAGGTCAACTCCGCCCAAGTTGGCGAGTCAAAATTCAACCTTGCTCGAATTTTCAAGACAAAACTGACTCCGCCCAAGTTGGCGAGTCAAAATTCAACCTTGATCGAATTTACAAGTCGAAACTGACCCCGCCCAAGTTGGCGAGTCAAAATTCGACCTTGTTCGGGCAAAATTCGACCTCGCTCGAATCTATAAGACAAAATTTGACCTCACTCGAATTAACAAGTCAAAATTGACTTCGCTCAAATTTTCAAGAAGGAATTCAATCCCACTCAAATCAACTACCAAAAATTAGGGGCTTATTGCGAGAAAGTCCAAGGAATTCGAAAAGGAAAAGAGAAGGGAAAGCCAAAAAATACAAATAAAGACGAGCCAACTATTTCATTCCAAGAAAAGATAAGTATCTTACAGAGAGCCAAAAAAGGGTGGCCCCACCCAGCAACAACAAAAGAACAAAAAAAAACTAAAGTACAAAAAGCTAAAAAAAAAATTCACTCGACATCATCTGCACAACTGTCCTCTCCAGCATTGTCATCATTGCCCCACCGGCTTCCGGTGTCGCAGGGTCATAACCGTAGGCAAGACGAGCCTCGGATGCCTTAACCCGAACACCTTCAAAAGCGTCCTCAAGAATGCTCCCCGCCATCCAAAAACCCTTATATATATCTCGTTGGGACTCAACATGGACCCACGGCTCGTACAAGTGGTGGGGGACAGCAATATGGGCAGATTCTTGAGGGCGGGCCTGAGCCAACAGCTGCGCCTTCTCGGCATCGAGAGCCATAACTCTATCTCCCAGGCTTGAAGCATCCCGATCAAGTTCACCGACCCTCTCCTTGAGCCATGCCTCCCTCAATGTGGCCATCACCCTCTCAGCTTCCCGCTCAGACCTAAGGACGCAGATAGTGTCTTCCAGTGCCGCCGCTCTCGCCAAAGATGCCACTCGAGTTCCCTCAGCTCTCTCCAACTCGGACACCTTCTTTTCTAGCTCGGCTACCTTCTCCGTCCACTCTGTACTTAGACTGGAAACTCTAGTGGCATTCTGCTCAAGCTCGGCTCGTAAGGACAACACTTTTGCCTGAAGATCCTCGCATTCCACTGCAACCCCTTTGCCCACCTCGAGCTCCTCGTCTTTGGCACTAAGTAGCTCATCGAGCTCGCTGCACATGCGGATAGACCGTATCAGATCCTCGTCCTTTTTCTCCAACTCATCCTTGACGGATTGAGTGTTACCGCCCGTCCTAAGTTGTGCATGCATCTCACGACACCTGTCGCAATACCGGCGATACTTTGCAGCCATCTTCAGAAACACTTCGGCCCGCATCTCATCCCTACGAGCACTCTCGATTTCCAGCATGTAAGTCTAAAAAAAAAGAGGGGGAGGAATCAGTGAAAGCAAATGGCACAAAATAACAAAAGGAAACTTACCCTCAAGGCCATCCCAGCCATGCCGCTTGACAAATTCCAGAATCACTGATCTCCCGAAGAGACCCGCTTTCGACGACGGAGCACAGAAGGTCAAATTGGAATCCACCATGTCCTCCAACAGGTTAAAGTCCGATGGGATTTCGAGCACACGGGAAGGGCCTTCCACCCTCACATCGACCCTGGTAAAGCCTTCCTCAAACATCCTCATGTCCTCAGGATCTATATCAGAATCAGATTCATAATCATCTACCACTACACCATTCAACCTCTCATTAGCCGAAGATGGGGTACGGGCCTGCCGAGACGTCGATGGGCCACTCGGAACGATCACGGCATCCCCGAAACTCTTTCCCCCTATTGCAACAGCCTCTTCCACACCTGTAACGGGCATCGCCTCCACACCTAGGCTGACATCACCGCCGACTTCAGACACTGCCAAAACGGGGTCGCCCCTTGAGGGCGTTTCGGCCAAAAATGCCCCCTCTGACACTATGCTCCGCCTCTTTGACGGGGCCTCTTCGCCACTACCATGAGAAGGTTCGTCAGTTGAACGGACTGTGGGAACAGGTTCGGTCGTGGATGCGGTCCATCGAGCAACCAAACTTTGGACGCCCTCATCAGTTACTCTTGGTACGGGCTGGGCTGAGAAAGCCGGTTGACGGAAAGCGAGGGCAGGATCCCTTGACCTTCTCGTTCCTCTCCGACCTGCCAATAAGAGTTTTGACCAAACAAAAGATAAGATAAAGAAAAAATATGGGGCAAAGAACAAAGCAACTACGACCGAAATAAGCCGATTTACCAGCAGAGGGTTTGCGCCCAAACCTCTCGTGGAAAGGCTCTCATTCGCGAATCCCCATCGTGTGGGGCAGAATTGAGCTCACCCATTCACGAATATCGGCAACTTGCGGAGGAGGTACCCTCTCGGCTGCGGAATCAAAATACACTCGACGGTCACTAAAGGGAGACGACCAACAACTATGTTCAAAAAATATATATTATAACAAAAGGAAAGGGAGACCTATGGGCGAAATTCCACGCCTCAAGAAACCCTGCAGGGTTCGATACCACGTGATCTATTCGGACGTAGAAGAAGTACTCCCAAAAACGATGATTGGCCTTGTCGTCCATCTTCTCTACCAAACCCTTGGTTCCTCGATAACGCATGTGAATCATCATGCCCCTATGAAAATGGAGGCGAAGAGGTGGAGCATGTGTTGTAGAAAAATTCCCCGATCGTCCAGCTCCGCGTACTTGATAAGCATATGGAAGAGCTTGTATACGTACGGAAAAAGTTGAGCCGGACACACCTCGTAGAAGCGGCAGAAGTTCACCACCAAGGAGGGAAGGGGAAGCGTGTATCTAATGACAAATGGATACGCATAGAATGCACAGTAGCCTGGGCGGTGTATATGCACTATGTCACGACCCACCGGAACTAGTTCGATGTGGTCAGGGATTCCCCACTTGGCTTTGAACGCCGTGAGCGCCGCATCATCCATTGTAGAAAGAACAGGTTCCGGCTCATCCCCAGTAGGGCTATTGAAGTTAGTCCTCGCCTTCCTGGGCGGGGAACCACCTCATCTACCATCGGAAAACTCTCGTCCTCCGCCAGATCCATTCCCTCTTCGAGTAGGGGTATATCGTTTTCCGGCACCGGTGCACCGACAACTCTATCAGGGTTGGAGGATGCACTAGCCATCTCTTTTTGATTGCAAGAATCGGGAATAATAAGGGAAAAAGGTAGCGGTCACAAGAAGTTTTAACAGAAAGAGAAATGTGAGAAACTGAAGGAGAGGAAGAAAAGTTGCAAAAGTCTCTCTTGAGTGATTGGGAAGCCCAAGCATTCAAATGTAAGATTTTCTCCTATTTATAAGGATATAAATATCCTGAGCGGGAAAACCAAACACCGCCATTTTGAAAACGGAAAGGGCAAGGAAAATGATGCAATGCATAGAAAACGTGCGTCATAATGACGCATGAGGGGTTCTTAATGACATTCTGAACTGACGTGACAGTCTGATGCAGCTTTCGAAATGTCACGTTGCTACCTCGCCATGAGGTATTCGCCCATCGCCCAAAGTGTTCAGATTTCTCATAACTTTCGAATCGACAGAGTCCGTCTATCGAGCTCTCCAAAAGACGACCCTAATAGGCAGAGGGACCAACTATATGAGTCGAAATTTGACCAAACGAGAATCTGCGCGAAAAGGAGCAGCAAAGTCATTTGGGCCGAAGTCGTATTCGTACAACGCTATAGCGATGAGCACCTCGGCTAAGGCCGAGGTCGTGTACTCAGAATACTTGTAAGGTGAGTTGGATGTTACGGTATTTCAGAGGGTCAATTTGTAAAATAGTTAAAGGGCTTAGGTACTCTGGCTAATGACCGTTGTGTAAATGAGAATACCTAGTATATATACTCAGTGAGAGAACGAATAAAGGGGGAGGGGCTGAAAATAAACGGAGAGAGAGACATATCTTGAGAGAAGAAGGATCTTCATCTCTTTCTCCTGACTAAAGAGAAAGAAGCAAGGAAGCTCAGATCTTCAATATACAACGTTTGTCTCATCATATCAAATGTATGGGGGTCAACCTTGTTAAAGATCGGTGACCATTTTTATCTATGTATTCTTTATTATTATTCAATATTATGTAAATCACCATCCTCTTCTTATATTACGGGATTCAGCTATGACTATGGTTAAATTTTATGTTCAGCTATGCTTGTTTGTTCTTGTTCTCTGTTTTAGATCTAGGATGAATTATCTTTGGCTAGGATTTACCTCAAATCTTCCTATTTAATTTGTTTGTAAAAAGGCTTAACACTTTTTAGTCAAACAAACTTGAGGTACTTATTTGATTGCTAAAAGATGCATGTACATCTGGTACAAGAATACTTAATTGAACACGCGAGCACAAAACCATAGCGAAGCAGTGAAACACTGTGAAGATGATGAAACAATTCTGCAGATCCTGTCATTCTTTCTGTAATTTGAAATGTGACAATAAAGAAGTTCCATCTAGCCCTTTGTTGTATAGATAAGTGAAAAACTCTTTTCTGCTTGTTTCTCGGTATATTGGAGGATTTTCCTCTAATAACAACTCCTTGATTGGACCATATAATCTCGATTCACTTCTTTCCTGAAAATGCATTCTAAAAAGACTCGCCACTGAAATTCTTGGTCCTATATTTTTCGCTAGCACTCTGTGAAGAACGCTTCTGAACTTATCGTTTGTGATCAGCTACAAAACAAAATGGAAACTAGTGAATTAATTGATCAAGTTTGTAACATTTACAACTACATAAAGAATTTTTTTACCAATGAGAACTTGCCTGCATTAAGTCTCCAATGTTCACAATTAGAGCTCCAGGCATGAAAGCAACATCAACCCACTGATTTTTATGAAAAACTTGGAGTCCGCCAATTCGATCCTGTAATACAATAGTCAAGAAGCCGCTATCTGTGTGACCGGTAAGGCCTAAAGTGAAATCTGGTTCTGGACATGCTGGATAATAATGGCCAACTACGAGTAGCCCCTCCGCACATTCTATGTCGTTCAAGTGATTCGGGTTGAGTCCTAGAGCTTCAGAGAGTAGGTCACATAAAGTAAGCCCCAGTTTCATCACATAATCCGTGTATTTGACCACAACATCTCTGTAACGTCAAAACATTGCGACATAAGCATGCCAATAACGTCAAAACATTAGTATGAGCTAAAGTTGCCTAAGCAAAGAAAGATATACTAGTAGTAAGCATAATATATACCTGCAAACCTCTGGAATTTCTTCCGGGCGGGGAGGATTAGGAGCCATGACACAGTAAAAGGTGTCTCTCCAGTTAGCTGTTTTTGCTTTGTGTAGATCAAAATTGGTATTATAGGTGAACTTCCTCGTTACATCACGAGAGTAGAACTCTTTCTTCACCTCAGAATCCTGCTCATGAAAATGGCGAACGCCTTCTAGTACTTTCTCCATAACACTTGATGGGATTTCATGGTTGACAATTTGGAAAAATCCCCAGTTTTCACAAGCATCCTTTATTTCTCGGACAATATCAGCTCGTTGAGCTGCACTTTTGCCCGAGTTTCCTAAATCTATGACTGGAAGGCTAAACTTAGTAGCTACATCGGAATCTGATTTTTTTTCAATCACAGGCTGGTTGTGCAAGAATATGCGCGGTAACTTTGTGACTCCAGCATCCAGAAGTCCCTTTACACCAACCTTTGAATCATCAAAGGATTGAACTTCACTTTTCCTATCATATTCAGAACACTCATTTTGATCAGTTCTACCATTATTTGAGTCAAACATCTTCCTTTCTTTAGAGGAAAACTCAACTCTTGACTATATATTGAAGCAAGATTTCTAATGAAACATTGAGGATATTATAGGGGTGCTTATGAGACAGTTAATATTTTTCTATAGCTTTTCTGGGATCAGATTCCATCAGAAAGCAAAACTAAGAAGTTCCAGGACAAAATTAGGTATACATACACCTAATACACCTAACAGTAATGTGTCCAAACTTGTTCTCTTTCAGTTAATTACATGATTTTGGAACTATCTGAACCATGTTATGTCATATATTGAGGAGGGAACTAGTACTTGTTACCCAATTGCAGAGGACAAGGAGGAAATATAAAAAAGGAGATTAAAATAGTTCAGATAAAAAACACAAATACATAGAGCACACCAAAGTGGAACACGTGGTATTTGCGACCAAGGATAGCAACATAATATTAAAGGAAACATTAATAATAAAATAAAAAATCTTCAGGTTCAGTTGCTTTCACATTAGCAACTTTTGATCCCATTTGTTTATTTCAGAAGGCAAGTGGAGCAGTTTAATGTCACTCTTGTAGTCTTATGTAAAAATAATGAGCACTATTAAAATGATCAATTTGACAGGTTACAACCTTCAAATGAACACAGCAAAAAGTGGAATCATTTGTTCCAAATTTCAAATTAGACCATCAAATCCTTCATAGGTATAATTTTTGGAAAATGATGAATAAACTACTCTTTTACTTTTCTAGTGCAAATGACATTTGCTTTTTCAGTCTTATCTTTACTAACACATAAAAATATTAAGCAAAGATGATGAGGTTTAAGCTGAGTTTCCTTGAACTGAAAATACTAAAGCATGAAACATTTTAATTCTTGATTGAACTTACAAGAACAAAACTATAGCCAAAGAGTTTTTTTTTTTTTTTGTTGCTAAAATAGCCAAAGAGTATGACACTGAAAGATGATAAAACATTTCTGCAAATCATATCACTATTTCTGTAATTTGACATGTGATGATAAAGAATTTCCATCAAGCCCTTTGTTGTACAGATATGTGCCATACTCTATTCTGCTTGTCTCCCGATGGTTTAGAGGGTTTTCCTCTAATAACAACTCCTTGATTGGACTACATAGTCCTGATTCTTGAAAATTCATTATGAAAAGACTAGCCACTGAAATTCTTGGTCCTACACTATTAGCATGTACTTTGTGATGAATGCTTTTGAACTTGTCATTTGTGATTACCAAACAAAATGGAAACTAGAGATTTGAATGCTGGAGCTTGTAACACTTATATGAATATATATATCAGGCTCAATTTTCAAATAAATTAGTGAAAAATATAATAATCCATAAAGATAATAAAAGTGATTCTTTTCACCATCTGTGAAGCTTAAGCATAAGAATTATCTTACTTTAGAACATGAAAATTAGATTCTCCTATCCTACTTTCCATTATTACATTACTATGGCTGGATCTTATAGTGCATTAATGCAGAAGTTCCATCTAGACCTTTATTGCGGAAGTAATCAGCATAGTCTTTCACTGTGGTTGCGCGATATTTTGGAGGATTATCTTCTGATAACAATTCCTTAATTGGCCCATAAATCTTGGAAGTTGGCAATGAGCTAGTGTAGAAGAAGCATGCAACTGATATTCGTGGTCCAACTTTATTTGACAATACTCTGTGCTCAACACTTATGTACTTGTCATTTGATATCAGCTGAAAAATACCAGAATAAGAATTATCCGTTTTAGTAGCAAAAAAGTTTATATTCTATTCTCGGGAAAAGGTCCAAATTTACTCCTCTACAATATGAAATACCTTTAATGTTACCTTCCGTTATACTTTGGGGCTATCAATAGTGTTACTATTAGCAAAATGTTTACCCTTGGCTTTATCAAAGCTCCAGCAGGGATCGGTGGATTCTGCATGTCAAAATACATGGGGAAAGATCCAAATTTACCCCTCCTACTTTTGCTTATGGTTTATAATTACCATCTGCTATACTTTAAGTTGCAACTCCGTCAGGATTAAGAGCGGCAAATACAGAACGATTTGTGGATGCTAAGGATAGGAATGGCCCCAAAGTATAATGGTGAATAAAATTAAGAAATTAAATAGTAGAAGGATATATTTGACCCTTTTCCCTTCATATTTTTGTCATGTGTATATCTATGTATAGAGAAAGAAAAAGATACTAGCCTGCATAAGATCTCCAATATTCACCACAAGTGCACCAGGCGTAGGAGGGACATCGACCCACTGATTATGGTGAAGAACTTGTAGTCCTCCTATATCATCTCGCAGAAGCACTGTGATAAAATCGTTGTCAGAATGTTTACTAGTGCCCATTGTGAGTTCTGGTTGAGGGCATGCTGGATAGTAGTGACCCAAAACGCGTAGCCCCTCAGCACAATCCATATTTGTAAGTTGAGATGGATTGAGACCAAGACCCTCCGACAATAATTCAAACAAGGATATGCCCAATTTCATGACATGCTTAGAGAACTCCATTAGTATTTCCCTGCATCAATTTCTATAACTTGATGAAACAGTACTTAGAAATAACTTAAAGAAGATATATAAGTTAATCCGCTGAATTGTCCTCAGGCGCAGAGATATTAGATCTATTTCTTACAATATCCACCAAAACTCATATTAAGCGTACTGACATTGTCATGGTTTGTTCTTGATCTTTTTCACAAGATAACACATATATTTAGTTAGTGCAAAAGTAAATGAATTTTATTGGTTCTTTCTAATTCATGTTCAGAAACTACCTGCATGCTGTGGGCAATTCCTCTGGACTAGGATGATTAGGAGCTATCAAACAGAAAATTGAGTCTCTCCAATTTGCAGCTGGAACAGAAGGCCTATACAAGTCAAAATTGCTAACATGAACGACTTTTTTGGTATTATCTCGAGTATAAAATTGTTTCTTAATCTCAATATCTTGCTCAAAGAATCGTCGTGTTCCTTGGAGCATTTCTTCAAGGACAGGTAATGGAATGCCATGATTAATCACTTGGAAGAAACCCCATATCTCCGATGCATCTCGAACTTTTTCCACAATCTCTTTATGCTTGATTGAATCTTTATCAAAGCCTTCAAGATCTATCACTGGAAAAATGAACTTTGCGGCGCAGCTATTTAAGGACTCTGGATTTGTGTTGGCTGGATGAATATTCGAGGCACCTTAGTAATTCCAGCATCGACAAGCCCTTTGACACCGGCCTTAGTATCATCAAAAGCTTTTAACTCACTCATTCTGTCATAACTTTCCTGAACTCTGTCCTGAAAATCATTTGTGCTAGAGACTGCCATCTATTTGCTCAAGTTCTTAGTTTGATAAAAAAAAAAATATTTCAAAGGTTGAGAGGGTATATATCTCAAATGGAGGAAAGAAAAGAGGAAGAGAACATTTAGATGTATAATACTAGTTAGATTTGATACTGCATTGGTCAAAAGAAGAGTTTCTAAGTTACGCCTTTGTTAAGTTATATTTTTGTAAACACGAGGCATCCTCTATGAAGACTTTTATCATAGTTTAAGACTTTCTTTGTGTTATTAATCTGTATTACGGTAAATAAATAAAATATTAATCTTTATCAAAACAGAAACAGAAAGTTAGTAGAAATTAAATTCTGAAAATAGTATTTGAACTTCTTCAAAATAAATTCTGAAAACGGTATAGGAACAAATCGAGCCCACTGAATACACAGTGTGTCCTTAAGGAAATTATTCCCCTTAAGTACCCGAGGTTCTGGAATATATCCTCCCATGATAGAAAGATTTAACTCACCGGAGTGTTGGTACCAAAAACGCCGATGAACAGCGAACCACTCGAAGGCTGCAAAACACACTGGAATTTTTGTGCAGAAGAAAAAGAAGATTATCAGAAAATTTCGTAAGTAAAATTCTGGGATTTGAAGGTATATTTATAGCCAATTTGGTACTGTTTCTGAAAAGGTTTATACGGATAGATGCTTTCAAAGAATTCAGCTTTATCTGATTCCATTACCGTATTAACATGAATCTCGGGATTATCAGATTTATGAACCAAAAACCGACATGCTTTACTGTTTGTAGCATATCCAATGAAAACACAATCTACTGTTTTTGGTCCGATTTTAACCCTTTTAGGTAAAGGAACTTGTACCTTTGCTAGACACCCCCACACTTTGAAATATTTCAAGTTGGGGTTTCTTCCTTTTCATTTTTCATATGGAATAGATTGTGTTTTGCTGTGGGGTACTCTGTTGAGTATTCAGTTAGCTGTAAGGAGAGCTTTCCCCCCAACAAACTCTACGGTAATCTGGAACTTATTAATAAAGAATTCATCATTTCCTTTAATGTCCGATTTTTCCTTTCCGCAATTCCGTTGGATTGAGGTGTGTAAGGTGTAGTAGTTTGATGGATAATTCTATATTCCGAACATATTTCTGCAAACAGAGATTCATATTCTCCACCTCTATCACTTCTAATCATTTTGATCTNGAGCTTTCCCCCCAACAAACTCTACGGTAATCTGGAACTTATTAATAAAGAATTCATCATTTCCTTTAATGTCCGAT